ATCCTCCTTGCAGATGGCCAATTCCCTCACACCAGAAGCGACCTGCAGTTTCTCAAGTTGCTCCTGACATGGAAAAAAAAGTGGGCATGTATCCTGTCTGTTGCAAGAAGGGAGCTGGAAATCATAGGGAAGAATGGAACAAAATACTGTAAAAAGGAGAAAGACTGGCTGGCTGGAGCAGAGAACATGAGCACTTTGCTTCAGCAGGTACCATTTATTTTGAACTTTTAACTGTCAGCACTTTATGACCTGATATGCTAAGATTTTTCAGAAGTGACAAATCTGACTTTGCTCCTAAACAAAACACTGGGATTTCTACCAGCCAAAGACCAACAAAAACACCCACAGCTCCCATTTTCAATACAGAGTGAGTGGATATTCCCTATTGACATTTGTCAATGAACGAGAAGTAGAACATAATCAGGCAGAGAGGAAACTGAGTAAAAACAACCCCTTTGTATAAGGAAAAGAAAGCTGCTTTCCCTAGCATTTGTCCCTCCTTTTTCAGAGAGGCGTGAATTTCTCTGCTAATATAAATCCGTGTCAAATAATTCTGAAACCTTTCTCAGGTGCCACTTGAATTTGCTACTCAGATCTCCACATCCCTCTCATCGGGGGTTTGTTCCTTAACATATCTTCTTTTTAAGTGCATCCCATTCTAATTTCCTCTTTTGCCGCCACTACCATCCCCATTATATCCTTTTATACAGGCATTTCATGTGGGCTCCTGGAATGAAGGCTGTTGAGAACTGTCTGGATAATCAATGTTCCTGGTTTCACTTCCTTACAACACCATCATCCCAGCCCCCTGAGCTCTATATGTTTAATGAGTATGTCTGCAATACATGAAAGGACCCAAATACCCCCATTAGGAAACTCGCGTTAGATCTCAGTCTTTCCTCATAGCTCACCTGCTTCCCTTACTACCTCTGTGGTGGCAGCGTCCTGCTGTTTGACCCGTCAATCATATTTGAACAGCGAGAGGCTGCCAGGTACCCTTTGGCCAAAAAAAAAAAAAAGAGTTAAGGGAGGACAGAATGTCACTCCGTTTATTATTAAAAAGTGTAATGAAAAGATAACTTTTCTAAAAAAAGAAGAAGAAGAAGAAGAAGAAACACAGCAGTCAAATAAAATTTGCAATGTTTCTGTTGCACTGCCAGGATCTTTCAGGTTGCAGTTCACACATCAAAATCAGAGCAGATGGAAATGCAAAGGACGTCCCATGGGAACGAAACAGCAATGAATTAACCTTGTTTAATTATACTGACATTACTTAACCTCTTACATCTTTGTCTTTAGGGGGATATACCAAGGGGAAAGGGTTTTTTGAAAAATATAGACTGCAGCTACTACAGGGATCTCAGAGCAAGTCCTAAAAGAACTTGTCTCATATAGATATGTGTGTTTGACTGGAGCCAAAGTTTTGTTGGTACCAGAAAACAGCTAGAAAAACAGTTTTGTCGATTGCAGTGATTTTTTTAAAAAAAATCATATGGAGAGGTAGAAAGGCAGAATTTGATATTATTAATGAAGTTCCAGTTAAGACTGTTAAATGAAACATATCACCCTGATTTTTTTTTTTCTGTGTCAGGAGCGACTTGAGAAACTGCAAGTTGCTTCTGGTGTGAGAGAATTGGCCATCTGCAAGGACATTGCCCAGGGGACACCTGGATTTTTTTATCATCTTGCTTCTCTCATGTCCCGGTATGGGAGCTAGAGCTGACAGTTGGGAGTTCACCCCACTCCCCAGATTCAAACCGTCGAGCTTTCAGTCATCAGTCCTGTCTTTTTAAGATCATGAGTGACCATAATAAGCCTGTCTTCCCTCTTTATTTCCCTATGAATAGCACAGAATATACAGACCAAGCATCCCTTATCCAAAATGCTTGGGACCAGAGCCATTCTGTATTTAGGATTTGTTTGTTTGTGTGTCTGTTTTGGGGAGGATTTTGGAACACTTGCATATATACAATGAGATATCTTGGAGATGGCAGCCCAAGTCTAAACACAAAATTAATTTATGTTTCATACACATTTTACACATAGAATGAACATAATTTTAAATACAAAATAATGTTGTGCATGAAACAAAATTTGTGTACATTGAGCCATCAGAAAGCAAAGCCATGCATGTGAACAATTTTGGATTTGGACAGAGTGAGGATCTCAGAATTTTGGATAAGTGGTTCTCAGCTTTGGCAAGACATCACGGTCAGCTTCCTACCCTGCCTATCTTGCCACAAATATGGACTACTTAAGTTCAGAGTTCTGCCTCCCAGTGTGAAGGATGAACCATGAAACACATTCACTCTGAGTTCTTGTGGTTTAGTTCATTGCTATGGAGCTTGTTTGTATCAAGTTGGTTTTTCAGATAAGCTCATTTTCAGCAGAGACAGAGTTTATACATTCTGCGCTGTGGCTCAAAGGTACATATCCCCAGTTCAAAAGTTCACAAAACCCAGAAAAGAAAAAAAATCTAAGTATGGAACTTGCACAACACGGAAAGTGAGGCCCCGTCCACACAGCCAAATAAAATCCCACATTATCTGCTCTTGAACTGGAATATATGGCAATGTGGTAAGCCAATTCAAAACAGATATTGTGGGATTTTTCTGCTTTGATATTCTGGGCTATATGGCTATGTAGAAGGGCCCTGAGTTTATCTTCACAGGACTTCACTTCTAAAATAACTTCATTAGTCAAGAAACCGGCCAAATAACCACATTAATAAATAATCTGAAGCTTGAAAAAGTTACTTTTTTGGACTATGGCTCTCAGAATTGCCAGCCATAATCAGAAAATTCTTGGAATTATACCCCAAAAGTTATAATGTTGTTCTTCAGACACAAGTTCCTTTCCCAAACTTTAGTTCTCTCATCACTCTTCTATGTGTAATTCTATCCCCAGGAGAGCCTTTCACTGTCATTCTAGCAATATTCTGATGGCAGCATTCACCATATGGAGGCTGTTACATTATGCAATGGCTCTCCTTCATGTAAACTATTTCACCAAAATTCAAGACATTGCCATTTTCTATTTGTAAACTTCCTATGTGCTTTCTTACATTGCACAAAATCTGTTATGGGAAGAAAGAACTAGCTGGCTGTGCAATGTCTTTTGATGGATTTGAAAACACAGATTTGAAAGCATCCTGTGTGTTTTCCCTGAGAGTAAACCTTCCTCCAAATGCAAGGATTTACTTCTGAGGTGTGTAGATTTGAGTTCTAAAGGGGTGATGGGTTGATAAGAGTTCTGCTCTATGGTGGAGAAGGTCTGAGGCCAATGAGCCACGGACATTGATGCTTCCTATGCTCTCTGATGTGGAGGAACAGCAATTATTTATTTTCAGTATATTAGAGACCTATACCACTATTGTGCCCATTAGCTTCAAAGAATGTTTTCCTCATGAGAATTTTCCTAGGAGTCAAGAATCAGCACCAGTTCACAGGCTACCACATTGAGTAGAACTTCTCTAAAGCACCTTGGCTTTTGTGGTGCAGAAAGCTTACCTTTCAGCCATATGGTCATGTGAATTAGGAGAAATACAAGAGACATCGACTCAATGATACAACCAGTGTTCTTATGAGCCATCCACAAAATAAACACAACAATGAGAATATGAAAATGAATAAATGAAACTGAGGAAAGGTCAACTCCCTGACTTGCAGTGATACTGAGAAAGGAAACTTACTATTGACCAGAAAATAAGTATTTGCACCTGTGTATATAAGCGCAATGGGAGTGCAATCCCAGTCCCATATAATAGTAAAAGCACAGCAGAAATGCTTCTGGAGTCTGAGAGCTGTTGCATGTACCATTCGGCCACAAACCCAACTTTGGCACCCAAAAATGAACAACCACAGGACATCACATAATAGAGTCAAACGCAGTTCTCTGAGAGGTGCACCAATTATTATGAAACATGTCTTTTCAAACAGCTGTTTGCTTTGAAGCACACTTTTACATTTCTTTTAAAGTGCATGTGCTTAGACGCTCTTGGAGGTCCAAGTGATGGCACACGCACACCTTTGCTGCATTCTCAGACATGTGTGTTGGAAAGCCGGGTCCTTTCCCTCTCTTGCAGAAGAGACATTTGATTCATAAACTGAAAAGGAAGCCAAGGTATCCTCTTCCAGGAACTTTCCCCTTCAGTCACAAGTGGACAAGAGAATCTGTATGGGACTTGGGATGCCCAAGAGGTTTGGAGAAATCCCAAGAAGCCTAAGCCCTGTCAGGTGAGCACTTTGGTCTCTCTCCTGCTGTTTTGGAAGCCTTGCTCCATCCAATCTAGAGCAAGCATGGGCAAACTTCAGTCCTCCAGGTGTTTTGGACTTCAACTTCCAGGAAATTCTGGGAGTTGAAGTCCAAAACACATGGAGGGCCGAAGTTTGCCCATGCCTGCTCTAGAGGGTTTTCTGAAGCCATTGCCCGAGACAGCTCCAACTGCGGTTGAAAGTGGACTCTCATCCGCACACAACTTCCAGGAGCCCATTTATTCAGTGCCTCCAGGAAGCGCCTTGCCTGCCCTCCCTCCGTCCCTCCCTCCGTCCCTCCCTCCCTCCGGAGCCTGTTTCCCCCGAAGTAATTGCCCTTTTAATGAGCTCCGATAGCCTTCCACCCGGGAAGAGACTCCTGCCTCCCCTCCGTCGCCCTCCCCGACGGAGCCCGGCCCGGAGGCCCAGCAAGTCTGGACAACAACCACACGCTTCTTGGGAAACTTGCACGCAGGCTGCCCCCTCCCCCCTCTCTCTCCCAGCCCACCTCTCTCTTGTTCTTCTAAGTCCCACAGAAGACGCACATCGGCTCCTGCCCCACAACAAGACCCCAGGGCACCTTTCCTTGGAGGAAAAAGTCAGACGTCTGAAGAGCGAAGGGGCGAAAAGGTAGGAAAGGGGTCAGGGGAAAAGTGGAAGAGAAAGGAGGGGGCAGGAACAGGAGGAGAAGGCAAAGGATTGAGAGAGAGGGAGAGAGAGAGAGAGAGAGGAAGGAAGGAAGGAAGGAAGGAAGAGGGGAGAGAGAGGAAGGAAAGAAGGGAGGGAGGGAAGGGAAATGAGAGGTTGAGGCGCCAGGTTAGCGAATCCAGGGACAGAGGAAGACTCTCCAAAGAAACGGAGTGAGTACGAAGAGTGCGTGTGTCCTCTCTCCAGAAAACTGAAGAGCGCAGGGGGCGAAAAGGTAGTAAGGAGTCAGAGGAAAAGTGGAAGGGAAAGAGGGGGCAGGAAGGAGAGAAGGAAAGGGGAGAAGGAAGGGAAGGAGAAAGAGAGGAGGGGGGAGGAAGGAAGGAAGGAAGGAAGGAAGGAAGGAAGGAAGGGGAAGGAAGGAAGGGAAGGAAGGAAGGAAGGAAGGAAGGAAGGAGGAAGGAAGGAAGGAAAGGAAGGAAGGAAGGAAAGACAGGAAGGAAGGAAGGGAAGGAGGGGGGAACGCCAGGTTAGGGACAAGAGGAAGGCTCTCCAAAGAAACGGAGTGAGCATGAAGTGAGATGTGTGTGTGTGTGTGTGTGTGTGTCGGGGTCGATCGATCCGATCCCGTGGAAGAGTGTTGTCATTGGGACCGCCAGTGGGGAGGAGGGCGATCAGAAGCGCGCTCTCCCTCGTAGGGCATCGCGCTTTGCCCCGATGCCCCTCGCCAGCTGCTCGCCTGGGGCAGCGGAGGGAGGAGGAGCGGAGCGGAAGGGCACGGAGCCAAGAGCGAAGCCGGAGAGGCCCGTTGCCCGCGACTCGCTGCTCCTTTCCCGGCCATCTCCTCCCTCTCCCTCCCCCCGCTCCTCCGTGCCCACCGCCGCCGCCACTCACCGTCCTCCTTGTCCAGCACCATGGTGGCCGGGATCGGCTGCCTCCGCCGCTCCGTCTCCGCGCTGGGCTCGCCCTCCAAGCCGCCGGTGGCTCTTCCTCCGCTCCGTTGGAAAATGGGGAGAGGGAGGGGGGGGGGAGGAAGCAACGCGCGCACTGGCGGCGGCAATGGGGCGGTCGGGCGGGGGGTGTTTAGCCAAGCGGGTGGGAAAGGCACCCGGTGCTCCTGCCTCAGCCTCAGCCTCTTCTCTTCGCCTCTTCTCTCCCCCCCTCGCCCCCCCTTTCTTCTCCTCCCACCGCCCCGGCTACACTTGCAGGACTTTTCACCTTGATCGCGCGCCGCTCGGGGTTAGAATTACAGCGGGGGGAACAAGAGAAAGCAAGCCAGACTCTCTCTCTCTCTCTCTGCTCAGAGGCTGGCCCCCTCCAACTGGGATGCCACTTTGGGAATGGCACGCACCGAGGAGAAAGGGTAAGGGAGGCCGGGCAGGCCAGGCTGGGTGCCTCCTCGTCCTGGCTTCCTTCGCCCTTAAGCTACGCCGAGGCGAGCCTTCCCCATCCCCATCCCCATCCTCCCCCTCATTACAAATAATCGCCGCCTGGGCTGTTCAGGGAGGGGACCCGCCGCCAAGCCCCCCAGCCCTTCCCGCAGCTCCCAAAGTGGGCTCTCCTCCCCTCTCCACCGGCCCTGATATTCAAAGGGGGACGGAGTGGGGAGGGGGAGGGAGGGGAGCGAAGGGGTGCCTGGAGGGGGGCAAGATGCGAACCTATCGCGGAGGCAAAGGCTGGCCTTCCTCTCTCTCTCTCTCTCTCTCTCTCTCTCTCTCTCTCTCTCTCTCTCACTCCCTGGCTCTCAATTTATGTGCTCGCGCTCTCTCCTGCCGCTGAATAAATGCCCGCATTTCCCAGGGACCCTCAGATTCCCCTGTTAATTAAATCAATTCATTATGCTCAGATCTGATTAGCAGCCCCCCCTCTCCCCCCTCTTTGAATCAATTATTCAATACACAAACATAATTGCCTGTGCCAGAGGTGTCTAAGTATTAGCTTATTTAACTCCAAGGACACTAATTACCCCTAGGGCAAGGGAACTTTTCTCATTAATTCTGACAAAACACAAAAGCACAGCTAAAGTGCGGGAAGGGGGGGGGCATCGAGTGTGTGTGTGTGTGTGTGTGTGTGTGTGTGTGTGAGAGAGAGAGAGAATTGGGAAGGGAGGGCGGCAGAGCTGGGGAAAAAGAGGCCTTGCTGAGGATGCACGTGCTCCTGTATAAATAAGCCCTGCTTTCTTTCTTTTAGGGATGGATTTCGCCTCCTCCTCCTCCTTCTCACATCTCTCTCTTCTTCAGTTCTCTCCCTCCAATCCCCTCTCCACCTGCCTTCCTTAACTTTCCCAAAGTACCCAGCAAGAAAGGAATGGCAATGAACTTCTGTGGCACAGCTTGGGTGGAGAAAGAGTGCTGCAAGTCATATTCTTTCTGGGTTGCTGTGAGTTTTCTGGGCTGTATGGCCATGTTCCAGAAGCATTCTCTCCTGACATTTCACCTACATCTATGGCAGGCATCCTCAGAGGTTGTGAGGACTGTTGGAAACTAGGAAAAGGGGGTTTATATACCTGTGGAATATCCTTTCTGTTTCTTTTTACTTTAGGGTGCAAAGTGAGGATCTCAGAGGCCTCCTTGATGGAGAAGATAACCACGCAGAGAGGGGAAAACAGCCCCTGGGTGCCATTTCGAGGAAAACAACCCCTGTGTTCCTTCCTCTCCTGAAAAATATAGAAGGAAAGGGAAATCTATGGAGGAAATCACCTTATGAAAGCAACAAACGGCACATGATTTACTATGTAGTGGTAACAGTAGTGAATTGTTTACAGCCTGAATTAATGTCAGTGCCCACTATTAATGTACTTGCTTCCTATGTTTACCATATAATGGGCCTGATTTTCCATTAGCAGAAACTAGAGTGCTGAAAAGAGACTAGGCAGAACTAATACAAACTGAAATCAACAATTATATGCAGGCGTGCACATTTTCCCTCTCTCTCTCTCTCTCTCTCTCTTTCTCTCTCCCAATCTCTCTGCCTGCCAGCCTCTTTAAAAGGTAGGGGTTGCAGCTTGCAAGGCTCCGGAAACCTTTTTTTCCCTGCCCCTCTCCAGCCTATGGCCTTCTGTGTTTGAAAAGGAGTTGTAATTGATTCCCTCCGCTCCCCACCCACCCACCCTTTGCCCCAAATTAGGAGTTTTCACTTTCTAAAGGCGCCTTTTGTTGCTGTCCTGCCAATGTGCACAGAGGTATCGAGGATACTTTTTTTTGTCTCCCCTGGCAGTGCATGAGCTGATCCATTAATCCATTTGGCTTTTTCTATATCAAGAAACTAATATTCACTCTGCTCAGTCGGGTTTTAGTTCAGCCCTTCTTCCTCCGGCACCTGGCTGGGTTTTTCATGCCATTGGTGCAAGCCAATTCTCCTTGATGGGTTTGCTCAACTTACTGGCTGGTTTGTGGGTAGGATCACAAACCACAGCCATGGCATTTTGTGTTTCTTCTTTCGTTATTTCTTTCTCCTCTGCTGCTGCCGCCTCCAACAATGATTCGCAATCCCACATTGTCCCATTCACCCGTGTCAGGACTTTTGTGATTAAACTGGTTCATTTGGCAACTTTGGCCATTATCTTTAAAGCGCACCTTGTCCATATCACTTAAAGCCAAGAAGGAAAGAGAGGAAAGGGGAGGGGGACCTGGCAAGATAGTTGCCAAGTGAGCTTAACTGAAGCACACTCATTGCTTTTGCAAGTATTAATATGACTTGGAATATAGCACAGTGTTCCATTAGCTCAGGATGCGTTTCTAGGAGAATAAGGATAAAATGTCTCTGGCTTTGTAACACAACAAACCCTGTTAATTTTCTGGTCTTTAATTTTCAGTGGATGGCATATACTGCACCCACAGGAACTTGACCTGCTTAACTCAATGAATCACATTTTGAGAGAACATAAGAGAGCTGGAGAAGGACCAAACCGCAGAGAAAATCATTTTGCTGCAAAGCTCTTTTACAATAGGAGAAGACGTGGTAGGTTCAATCCTATCTGGGGAAATTTGAGTTTGGACGGTGGCTGTTTGGTATATAAAAATGCAAAGGATCTCAAAAGATTATGCGTAAACAGTGGGTATAGGGCAGTGATTCCCAACCTTTTTTATGACCAGGGACCACTCTCCAACATTAGTACCAAAAGGGTTACAAATCAGTTTTTGGTCAACTTTAGTTTCAGTTTGGGGTGCTAATTCAGAAAATTGTATTGGATGGACCACATCAGCTCTAGTTTCTGATACAGAACATATGCCATGGTCAGCGACAGGGATGGAGTGGCAGGGGGTGCGAAAGGAGCGGAAATAAAATAAAATAAATAAAATAAAATAAATAAAGAGGAACGAGGCTCACGGACCAGATTTTCTTCCTTACAGCCCACTGGTGGTCCATGGCCCACAGGTTAAGAACCACTGATATAGGGAAATAGACTTGCTTAAACTATTATATCTTTTGTTGTAGTCTAGGGAACATGAAGCCACCTCATACTGAATCTATATTCTCTGAGTGGCAGTCTCTTTCCAAGTCCTCAGGCAGACACCTTTCCTCACCAATGATGTCAAAAGAAGAAGTCAAAGATTAAACCTAGAATTGGAAGCAGGAGAAATGCAGGTGTTTTACCCTAAGGAAGAATAAATATTCACAACCTCGTGGATACACAACCTCCTAAGAATGCCAGGCAGGCCCTCCTCTCACTTCCACCATCATCACAAGCAAGGCTGGTGGGGATGAAGGCGACGACTTTCTCAGTGGTGGCCCCCCAACTTTGAAACACCCTCCCCAGGAAGATTAGGCAAGCACCCACACTGTCCTTTCATAGGGAACTGAAAACCTGGATGTCCCAGCAAGTTTTCAAGAATGATTAGTCCCTGGGCCCAGTCCCGAGGTTGCCAAATAGTTCTCTGCTCTGTACTTCATCCACTTTCCCAGCCCTATGATACACTGTTTGCACTATCCCTTGCCCAGCCCTTTTTAATTGATTAGGTCCATTTTTAGCATTCTTGGCCATTGCTATTGTTGAACTTTGCCTGATGGAGCTCCTATGTATTTGGTCAGCAGTTCAGCCAGCACAAGGGCTTAACCCATTTCACTACCATGGCTCCAGCCAAGTGAGTGAACAACAGCCAAATCGCCAAATGAATAAATGGTAACAAAACATACTTATTGGGGAGTAGCCTGCCACACCTCAAGACCATACTCGTCTCTAATTAATTCCGACCCTGAACATGTTCTGCAAAATAGTTCTTAAAGGAGATTTATTCCTTTAGGTCTTTTAGGAGAATGGACAGAGTAATTGTGATACACCAGATCTATCTCCTTGATATATGAAGCTCTTCTACAAGTTTCCCCTATTTTTTTGGGGGGGGGGGGCGGGGGGGGGAATAAAAGGATGTCAACTGCAGAAACATCCTAAGAATCTCTGGAGGTCTCTCAAAATGCCTGTGGCAGTGCATCCAAATACAGTGCACCCTTATTTCTGCTCCACTCTCCAAGAACTCAAAAATGGCATGGTGGAGGTGACTTCATTGCTTTCAAGGTGTGTTTTTAGTATTAACATCGGGAGATGTAGTTATATGTTACACATCAGGTCTCAATGTAGGATCTTGGATGATAGGTTTTCCTAAACTGAATAATATACTGTGCAACAATCTGGGATGTTTGAATAAAGTGAGAATCGTGTGGGAAGGAGAAAATGATTGTTCATCCTTTTGAGAATAAAATAATTAAACATTTACATCCCTATTGCAGACTTGATGCACTATCTTTCCACCTGGACAAGGGCAGGAACAGGGGGAAGTTCTAATTTTCCCAAGGCCTTCCCATCTCTATGAAGTCTGTATGTTCAAGAATGACTATAATCTTTCCTCAAACTGAGAAGTGGGGTCTCAGCACATTGTTTCACAAATGTATGGCTGAGTAAACATCTGGATCTCAAACTTACAGACTCAATGCCCATGTGCTTGCTGTTGCATCATTTTGGTCTGTACTTCCAATATACTAAGGCACCTGCCTTTTGAATGCTATGAGACGTATGGTTAGTTTTTCAGTGTAAGCTCTCAGCTGAAAAGAGAGGGGAGGAGCAGCTTTAAGTGCTAGCAAACCAAAAGCTTTCCAAAAAGCATGCCTGTGGTATTGTTGTTCAAAATCCAAAAAGGCTTCTTTCATAGCTTTCAATCAACATCATTGCCATCCCAGCGCATCTCTTTGTCTACCATGAATCATTGGCAAGATGCATCCCATACAGCTTTTTCAGAGCCTTCCAGTGGGATGTTGACAAATTGCAGAGTTCCCAGCTGTTGGATGTCAGTGATCTTTCCTCATTCTGTATTCCATGCTTATTTCTGAAATCCAGATGTGGGATGAAATTTAATACTTTGTCTGGGAAAGCTAGCAACTTTTACAATCAGCTACTTACTGATGAGAGCTTTATTCTTTTTTACTTGTCAAGTTAATGGATCAAAAGGATCCACTTTTTTTAGAGTTGTGAGGAAGTTTCAGAATCAGTTCAGAATCCCTCCAGAATCTATCCACACCTCAAACCCATCTCCTTGTAAATATATATTTCAAATACACCTCAAATCCAAAAGAGCACAGGGCTGTCACAATGAAATTTCTCCCATGGCCAGCTGCAGGGAGCAAGGGAAATATGAGCTAATGAGACCATATCACTTCCTATTAAGAGCATGGAATGCTTGTGCAAATTGTCACCAGGCTTCTTGTGCAGTCCTTCAACCATAAAGGGTTCCAGAATGACTTCTGTGGTCTCACTGGGGCAGAGCTTACAACAGAGTCTTTTAAAAAACTACAGCCCTTGTCTAGTGACCATGTCCATGTCTTATGACCATGCTCACTGAAGCAATCTAGAAGCTGTAGTCCAGTAAATATTGGGGATGATGATGGCAATGATGATGACGACAACAATGATGATAGATCTACAAGATTTCTTCTTACAGGAGATTTTACTTTGTGTGAAGCCCAAAGTTACCCAGTACATGTATAATTTATGATGCTTTAAACAACCCTACAATGCTCCTAGGAAAGTAAGCTAAGAATTGATATTCTTAGCTTACAGTTTGGGTTGTTAGTTGTTCTCCATGACTACAAGGCAAAAGAAGCCTTTCAAAAATCCCCCAGTCATCTTGGAGAGATTTCATGGACCAGACCTGGGACAGGTTGTGCTTTCCTAATTAGTTATGGAAAACTCCACCACAATGGTTTTCTTGTTGATAACTTTCAACCAGCTGGTCCAACATTTCTTGGAGATTAAGTGGTGCCATGTGGCACATTCCATTAAGACAAATGCAGCAGCAAATGAAATCCATTCAGGACATCCCTGGAATTTTCTGTGTCACGTGAATCAGAACAAAAGAGATTGCATCATATGAGACTGATGGATTAATTCGTTGACTAGGGCATGGAAGTGGCAGTAGGAAAGGAGTTTTCATGGCAAGGAGGCATTCTACTGTGTTTTAGGAATTTTATAATTTTCAGATTTCTGTAATTTTATTAATGATATTTTATGCCCTATTGATTATACTTATATCATTGTATTTATACTTATGTATTGTTGTCTGCATGTGGCACTTGGAGTGCTTCTGTTGTGGCAGCAAGCGGAAGAAAATGTATTTAAAAAGAATATAGAAAAGCATATCTTGGAATACCTTGAGAGAGAGCTCTGCGGCAGGGAGGTTGGGTAGAGAGAGCGAAGAGTTCCATAGATGAAAGTAAATGATTGACTTAACCAGCTTCATGGGTTAGGCTCAAGAAAGTTAAATATTAACTGGAACATGATATTTGGGAAACAATAATAAAGTGAGATGTTTATCATCAAGGGAATGTTTCTGGCAACCAGACAAGGACGCTTGTGTAGATAATTGATCTGAGGCTGGAAAAGGTCAGAGTAACATCTGGTGGTTCAGTGAGGTAAATAGCAGGTAACTTCAGATATATTACGAATATGGGAATAATTAAGATTTGAAACAATTATAAGTACGTCAATATAATATGTATGGGAAAAGGTAATGCGAAATACCTCTGTTAATGTTTATATCTGTGTAAATGTCATGGCAATTGTGCGCATGTCTGAACTAGTGAATTTTGCTATAAATATTGTAAGCTGAGTGACTTCTAGTACGCTTCAGATCACACTTCTGAGCATCCTATCATGATAGTAAATATGCCTGGAATCAAATTTGCAGTCTCCGTCTCCTTCCTGCCTGATTGTGCTCTACATGATCCCGGGTAGCAAATCTGCCGCGACATAGGTACTGTAAGCCACAATTGAGAAGAAGGCAATGGCACACTTGAGGGCTTGATTGCCCCCACTCAGCGGGTCAGGTAAGACGATGATCAGAAGGGGCGATACGGGTACCCACTGAGAGAAACGACCCAGCTAATCTTCGCCTTCCCTACCTCCGGACTGGGGTACATTGAGAATTAACAGCTTTGATTCCATGGCACAGGTAAGGGAAAAGGCTAGCCTTAAAGGGAAAAAGGTACAGGAGAAGTACCTGGGGAATATTTCACTGTGAGATTGTTGCGCAGAAATCAAGTGAAACCCCGAGTGACGTTTTCGCACAGAAATCGCACTCACAGGTCAAAGGAACACACTTTCAGGGGAAAGTGATAAGTTTGTTTTGTGTTAAGTGTTTGTTTTGGTTTATGAAATACTGTGTTTTTTTGCTTCCTTGCTTCTGTATTTTTCCATTCTTTATGCTTTCTGTAATGTGTATAATGAAAAGAGACAAATGGTTTCAGGCTTCCGGGAAAAAGCCAAGATGGAAAAAGAGAAAAATGAAAAAATGAGAAAAATGAGAGAAAAAAGGAAACGCTACGTACAATGTGATGAAATGGTGCCTGTCTTTTGGGACAAGGAAAAATGTTCGTTTACATTTTCTGGACAACTTGAATGTATGTGGATGGCTAGCCAAAAAGGAATGTGTGGAAACTGTTTGTGTTGGGAAAAAAAATATAATCTTTACAGGTTTCAAATAAAAAGAAAAAGAGGATAAATTCAGGAAAAATACACATGATGATGGAAAATGCCAAGTCTATATGTTTTCATGTGGGTAAGCAAAACCAAGAAGAAAATTAAAAGGTATGTGAAGAAGGTATGTGTAGGGAAAGCAGGGAAAAGCAAGTCAGAATAAGAGAATAGGGTTAATACGGGAGAAAAACCAAGATGTGTAAGTGCCTAGGACAAGGTAGAATTGAAAGGAGAAATGTAGCCAGAGAATATAGAGAAAGTGATACAGTAGGTGATGAAATAATAGGAAGAGAAATGTAAAGATCTAGCATGTGCTTAATAATAGAAACCTGAAATATTGAGATGTGAATGAATAGATTCCCTTTTTGAAAGTTTAGATAAATGTGTGGAAATATTGCAGTTTAGAATAAGTGAATGCATGTATGAAGACAGATTTGGATGCATCAAGACTGTTATGTGAGGTTGATTATGTTTAATTATATGTTTAAGCATTTGATGGGTTAAAAAGAGAAAATAATGTGTTGAGAGTATTCAAGAATGGCCAACTTGAATGCCCTCACTAGGAAAAGGGAAAGGAAAATTTTTTGAAAAAGAAAAATTGAAACTGTCTCACACAGGAGAAAGGTAGTGACAATTTGAGATATATTTAAACATAGAAGATTTTGTGGGAAGAGCAGTGACAAATTGAATGTTATGATTGACATGTACACCCCTTTCTTAAAAGTCCAAAATGTCGGTAACTGAATTGATAAGTGAATGAAGATAGATGAGGGTAATATGATGTGGAAGTAAAGGGGAATTAAGCATTAAGAAGTACAAATTTTGGAAATGTTAATGATTTTATGTTAGCCTGTTACAGTACCCTCTGTTGTGTTGGAAGACTCAGAGTGGCTGGGAAAATTTTTGGAAGTGTGATCCCTGTGAAAAAATTGGAAATGGTCTATTGCTTGATGAATGTCCTAATGCTATGAGGGGAATGCCAAATTGCGGATGAATTAAGCCTGCTTAAAAAGGAGACCATACAGTGATGGGCCCTGACTTACAATTTAGGAGTTGATCGACTGAATAAAGAACTAATTACATCGTACATAAATAAGAAGATATTTCAAAGACTTAAAATATAAGAGGATAAAAGTTGCTCTGAATAAGAGAGAGAGCCAACATCTGTAAGAAGAAAGAAGAAAGAAGATTGGATGGACTTTCAGGGTTGGGAGTGTGTTATTGTGGACTCCTTATCATCTTGGGGTTGGTATGGATGTGTTACAATTACAGACATGTTTTTGGGGGAAAGCGTATTTATGTAGGCATGTGGTATATTTATTACCTGATTAAGTTGAGTGTACTCATCCTGAAGGTAGTACAAGGAGGGATGGGAACA